CTGTATAGTCTCTCTTTTCTGGGCACATTCCCTGTGTCTGCTTCCTTCTTTCCTTCTAGGCACAATTTGGAAGATGTGAGCTCCCTCTGCAGTGTTGAAAGCCTCATCCAAAACTGCAGCTGCAAGCTCCAGGGAGTGTGGAGCCAGCAGGGGGCTGGGGGCTGACGAGCAAAGTTGGGCACCTGGCGAGTACCAAACACAGCCACTCTTACAGGGGGGCTTTGGAGAGGGAGGGACAGGAAGGAACTGTGCAATCATGTCACAGTGCATGCAACTTTGTTTAGCATGACTTGGTCAAGACAGTATTTCCTTTTAAATAGTGCTCTGGAGGGGAAAAGTTTGGGATGAAGAGGTGGCTGGGCAGAAAGAAGAGATGAGAGTGGGATAGGGATTAGTGCTAAGATGCTGTTCACCTTCCTCCTGAGCTGTAGGAAGTCCAGGATGTGCTGAGGAGGAGCTCCCAATAAATATTACTCTTCCTTTTTTTGTTTTCTTTCCTTTTTATTTACTTCTTTTTTCCTATCAGACATATAGGATTCCCTCTTTAGTCTGTGATCCAAAGACCTGTGTTGGTTCCTGGTGTTTGCCTAGAGCTTCAAAACAAGATTCAATAAAGTCACATGCTGAGTAAATAATTGCCTAGAATTAGAATCCAAGAGGTCCCTCAAACATTCATTAGGATATAACCTATGCAGTCATTTCATTAGTGGTATGTCAGCTGATGGTGGCTGGAATTCATATTCCTGCTTTTGCATCATGCCAAGCAGACAAGGGAGCTGACAGCTCTGAGCAATCCCAGGCAGGTTTGGGATCTAGTTTCAGTTTCTGTAACTTCCCTCACAGCACAAAATGCAGGAGGCCAGCCAGAACAGAAGCTGCATTTTGGTCCCAGCACACAGGAGAATCTCCTGGCTGGGACAGGAGAAGGTGCACGGCTGAAGAGTGCTAGGGTTGCAGGTGTGTTAGTGGAGACAGGTCCTCTCCTGCATGTGGATATGACTCAATACTGAATTAGAAGCCACCAATGCCACTGATGCTGATACTGATGTTTGCTGATGTGAGTGCTGCAGTTACAGGCTCAAGCAGGGCATTTCTGATTTTAATGACTGACACTGCAGAAACAGAACACTTTTCTCTCCGAGTGTGCTTTATTTTCCTAACACTGCTCTTGTTTGGGTAAAACATTAATTTCCATCTTTCAAATATGGAGCAGTGCTCAGACAAACGAGGGACCAGAGTCCCAGTGGGGATTTGGGGAATAAGGAGGGTGACCATCCGAGCCCCTGGTGTGAGGTGGGAGCACTGTGGTGGGGCAGGGAGTGTGCCTGTCTCCAGGGCCCTGCAACAACTGCTTGTGCATCGGAAGAAGAGAGGAATTGTAAGTGAAGCTTGCACTGAAATCTGGTATTTCTGCTTATAAAACTTAAAATGGAGTAACTGCTTGCAACATACCAGTTCATTGTGCTTTGATGGGTGCTGTCAAGTAGCATTGTAGAGTCTTTCCACTTCACCTGTAAAGCAGGCAAACTTTTCCTGATGCAGGGGAATCTTTGGTGGAAATTTTGAAGGAAACAATTTCTGCCAGGATTACCTCACAGAGTTTTACCTTACACATGTATTTCTTTTGGATGATTCATCTCATTTCCTTTCAGTATGCGAATCCATAGGAGTTTATAGCTTTATGCACTCTAACTCAATGGATTAATCTCAATGGACCAGCCAAGTAATGAATTTTTGCAACGCAGGCAAAAATTACACAGCAGAGTTCATGTAGTGGTGTGTGGACTTACAGTTCAGGCAGCTCATATTCAGATACAGTGCACTGCAAAGTTAATAGCATCAAGTTCTCCCTCTTTTTCTTTCCCTGCAATTACCATGCATATATGAGAGCTTTTCTCATACAGACCCCCCACAGCCCTCTACATCATCTCTGGTGCTTTCAGTAGCCCCTGGGATGGCTCTCACAGCTAGATGTAGGGAGTGGGGCCAACAGAGAAGTGCACACTTGAGTGAATAATCTCTGAGGCCTCTGCAAAGTCATCTGACACCCCCTGAGGCCGAACATTTCCTCTGCACTGGGTTTTAAAGAAAGCCTGAGGCTTTGTTTCTCTAAGCAGTTGAGCTGCTCTAACAGCCTGCTGACTCTGAAAGAGATTCTTTTATCCTCCATCCCCTTAATTTGTGGCTGGCCCTCCCTGAACTTATTTGGCTCATTACCCAAGAAGATAGCCACCTGCTTTCTTTTTCCTAATTATTGTTCCTCTGGGCTAACAGGTCTGTACACTGATGGAGCTGGAAGGTGGCACCAGGGGTGGGATGGGTGGTGAGGAGCAGAGACGGGATGTACAAATGGACTCCTTGGCAGGGAGAACCTGGGAAGCAGCTCAGGTGCTGTTTGAGGTGCAGCTTATCTGTCTCTGGGGGAGCAGACACTTCCCCAGCACAAATGCAAAGTCTTGGCAGACTCCAGGGTGAGTCAGCCATGGACCTTAACTGAACAGGCAATTTAATACCACAGAAAAGACAAGAAGATTTTTTTTCCAGCCTTTGTCTCCTGAGCCAACTAGCTGTGGGGTTGGAGAAGAACCAGGCCAACACAAGAGAGCAAGCAAGAAAAGCAACCAGGTCCAATGCTGGCTCCATGAAGCCTGAAAAAACATCTCACCTGTACCTTCCTCCATTCTTGGTTCTGAAGGGAGACCTACAACAGACTTTTAAAAGATGAGCCTAAAAATGGAAACCTAATTGTGCAGACTCTAAAAACTGCAAACATATTTTAAGCACTTCACAGAAAAATGAAATTTGCTCCCTACAAACTTCCAAGTGTCAAAGGTACTGCCAGCACATTGCTTCACCCCTTGTGCAGCCCCACAGGTACAAATCATGGGTCTGGCTGATTGAGTAAGGGCTGAAGGATGAAATCTGTGGCAGAGCATCTGTTCCCACCCAGGCTGCCCAGGAGCTTTGCTAAGGAGAAAAGAGTCTACAGCAATACAGTCTTTCTCTAGTCAGCAGATTGCTCCATATATTGGGAGCAGTGCCTGTTCAATGAAGTTGATCTCCCTGTGTGCAATTAATTAAGCAATGTTCAAAGAAGAGCCTTGGATGATCAGCAGAAAGATGACTGCAGATGAAAGTGGCTTTAATTGCAGAGCAGATGTGTGGTGAAGCTGGGGAGCCAGCTCTGCCTTTTTGGGCAGAGTAGTATCCTGTTAGCATGGCTGGGTTGGGACCCTGGTTGGTGCAGGTATGTTTGCCACTAGGTTTAGAGGAAAAGAGCTTTATTTTTTATCTCCTATCCTAATGTGATGAATACACCAGGTGGAGGGTGAAGCTGTGGTTGGATCTTGGCTTGCTGCTATCAGTTGTGCATTGTTAACTTGGCATAATTTTCTGAAGATATTTTCACCGGTGCAAATCCACCCTAAAGGCACATGTGTACGTGACTCTTCCCCAGTGCACCATGACAGGGTGGGAGGTTAATTTCTGCAGCCAGAAACAGGAGGTCTCTAATCCATATATCATGTTTAGAGCAGATTGATACCAGCTACTATTTTAAATGTTGGTGATGCAACAATAAGGTTTTTTCTATTCTCTTTTAGGACTGACAAGTGTGCGTAACCCTTCATAAACTGCTCTTGTCAACAGCTTTGGTATTAAACATAGGCAGTCAAATATTGTGAGTCAGTATCTTTCATCTTCTTCCTCATCCATATCACAAATAAGAAGTCACTTAAAAAGAGTTTATTAAAAAGTAGCACTGGTTTCTTATCTCAATTGCCTTCTGATTACACTTTGACCTACTTTCCTAAATGAACATGGTAATTGCCTCTTGGAGAGCTCAGATCTTAAATACAAGAAATAATGTATTTACAAGAAAAACAGCCAGTTAACTGGCTTCTACCTTATAAATAGTCTAGCAGGTCCCAGAACTTTCTCTAATTTCCATCACTTCCCCCCAGTGCTATGTGTCTGGGCTCAGAGCATTTATAGATTTTCATCCCAACAGCAGTGACAGTATGGCTTCTTGTCCCATGTCCAAGGGAACCCAGCCACCTGAGCTCTTCCCATATGTCCTCAGGTGGGAACTGAATAGGAGGGAAATGCTTGATTATGACTGAATGGTCCTCAAAAGGCAGAAATTATGCCAGGATTAAGGCAAAGTTAAGGGGTTCAGGGAAGACCTGGCATGGAAGAGAATTGGTGGGACAGTATGGTAATTTTATTATTGCCTTTGCCCTCTGGGGGCCATAATTACACACATTGGAGTTACACACAGTCTGCTGTGCCAGTGTGGTGCTGAACCTCAGGACCTGGGCTGCCATATCATCTTCTAATTCAAGGGGGCTGTCCATGCAGGGGACACCTGGAAGGCCTCTGCTCCTGCTTAGGTGTCCCAAGGCCAGACATGATTTCCCTGCTGGTCTCAGAATGCCTGGGGAGGTACTAAGCAGGTGCTAATGCCAGGGGTGTTGCTTGGTCTTAGCCCACCTCAGAAATACATTTTGCATGTCTCAACCTGCTGCAGCGGGTGCAGGTGCTGAGAGGGAACCTGCAGGCTGCAGTGCCTGTGCTGAATTCAGCCCAGCCCTGAGCTCTGCCATGGGCAGTGAGGCCAGAGGGACACAAGTGCCCCAGCAGAGGCTGCTCCAGGGCACAGAGGTCTCCCCCCTGCTGCCTGTGTCTGCCAGCAGGGAGGCACAGGCCGTGGCTGTGATGTCAAGAGGAGCACGGAGGGGTGTGCAGTGCTGCACAGGGAGCAGGCCATGGGAGCAGAAACCTTGCTGTGCTGGCACTACCCCAGCTGAGCCCCACCTGTCCCCTGGCTGCCACAATGCAGGGGGCCAGGGAGTGCAGGCAGCCCCTTGGAGAGGGGGTGGCACAGCTGTCACCCTGGAAGTACAGAAAGCAAAAAGGGCCACCTCTTTGGGCCCGTTGGCTGCTGGAGTATCTGCTCCAGGGCAGCAGCAGGCTGTCCTGTCCTCAGTCCTGCTGAGGGCTCAAAAGAGGCCGGGAGAGCTGAGAGGGGCGATGATGATGGGGGCATCAGGTGGGGTGAGGATGGGTGTTGTGTCTGATGTGGTCTCCTCAGCCTCACTCTCCACATCCTCCACGTCCTCACTGACAGAGGGGATGATCTGCACCACCTTCTCCTGAAAGTGCACTTGCTTGCGAGGCACAGGCACGGCTGCTGGCTGGGCAGGAGTTTCTGGGGCTGAGCTGCTGTCCTTGCTGCCCTTCAGGATGCTCTTCATATGGCCCAGAAGCGAGCGGTGCTGCTCCCTCTGGGCCCCGTGGAAGGTGTAGGTCTGCTCAGTGTCACCAATGATGGTTGGGGCTGCCTCAGTGGCTGAAGGGTCCACGTACTGACCCGCCTGGGGATGCATGTCTTTGTGCCCTGGGCTCTTCCTCCTCTTGCTCAGCAGGAAGTAGGCCAGGGCAGTGAGCACCAGCATGGACCCTGGGGACAAGAATATGTTGGCTGAGGGCTCTGGCAAGTGGGAAGGCCTTGCCAAGCAGTGCTTGGTCTGGCTAGCCCAGTGCCACCAGCCCAGCTCCCTGCACATCCCCACCCTCACCCCTTGACAGACCATGCTCCTCTTCCATCTGCACTATTCCCCACCCACGCTTCTCACCAGGGATGGTGACATGCCAGACCAGGACGGGATGCAGGAAACAAGCCACTGAGAGCAGCGTGTACCCGAGGAATTTCTGGAAGCTCCCGGGGCATCTAGCGCGCTTCCAGAAGGCCTGTGCCAGGAATTCAGGCTTGTGACTGGGGAGAGAAAGAAAGGTCCTTGTGGCATGAGGCACCAACCATATGCCAAGAAGATTTGGTCCTAACCATGACCCATCTAAACGTGGAGATCCTCAGTCTGGTTTGTAAGAAGATGGGTGTGCTTTTCAGGGAAGATAAGCAAAGCCTGAACATCTCCTGTAGGGAGAAGAGCATTTGCCAGAGGCCAGCATCTCAGTGCCTCACTAATCAAGTGCCTGCTAATAGGAGTAAGCAGTTGCCTCTAAGCTGTGAGGACTTTTGAGTTTCTGCTAGAAGACAGCAGCAGTGCTCAGCCTCTGAAAAGGACATAAGGTTTGTTTACGTTTTAACTTTAACTTCTGTGCTGTCTCTGGCAGGAGCTGAAGCTCACCCTGGGGATCTGGGTCTTCCTCCAACCCTGGTACCTTGTGCCTACACACTGTGTTAAGCAGATGCTGAAGAGCAGGGTTTGTTGTGCTGATGCTCAGGAAATTAGGGCACAAGCCTGGGTTAAAACACAGGTTTAAATGGCTGTGCACAGGGACCCATTTACCTCCCCCCGTCTGAGTGCACTTGCCTTGGCACTGGGGGCAGGACCTTTGGTCTGGCACTTGCAGCTCCCCCAGATCTGGTTTTGCTGTAAGGGGCAAGGTGCCTTTGGGAGGTCCCACTGTGTCTGGAGAGTAGTGGGCAGGGTCTACTCACGTGAAACACATCTCCAGGAACAAACTGATAAAGAAGAAGCCTTCACAGACAGTAACTGCAACCCCTGAAAAACTGAAAGGTGGAGCTGTCAGGGGAGCAGGGCTGTGTTTGAGTATGTTCTGCAGGTGGGCAGAAAGGGCACAGGGGGTCAGAATTTACTATCCAGTTCTCATACACAGTCTGTATGCTGGGGTCTGAACACCCTCTGCTTATCTGGTTTGTGGAAAACTCACAGCCCTTCTACCCCTGGGGAATCAACTTGCAGCCAGTGCTGCCTCTGGCCTGCCTGAGTCTGCAGTAGCATTTCTTTTCCTAACAGAAATAGCTTATTTTTCTGAAAACTCAATATGGAGATCTGAAATACCCAAAGCCTTGGACACTGTCTCCTGCTGTTGCAGTCTAGTCTGGTGCTACATATGGTGGTGGGGTTGACCTTGTCACCCCTGCCAGCTCTGATTTCAAGGGCAAAAATACTCACAGCAGATAGAAAGCCAGGCTTTTAAACTGTCCTCGCTGCAGAGTTTCTACGCCCACACCGATCAGCACTAGAAAGAGAAGGCAGGAAAGCTGCTGACTGCAGGGTTCATTCCCAGTTCCCTTGGGTTAGTTCCCAGCTCCCAGGATAAATATCCCCATTTCCCCAGGGGCTAGCAAGGCAGCTTCTTCCGTGCAGGGCAGCATGTTAGGACTGCCAGCACCAGTGATTCATGCTGACACACCCACCCAGAAGAGTCAGAGCTGAGTGCTGCCCTTGACATACAGCCCTGAAACCCATCCCAGCTGCACCCCTGTGATGGCAGCCTTGCCACTGTGTGGGCTGGGGAAAGGTGCTCTGGGAATACCAGCTGGCCTTGGACAGCTGGGGGAGGCGAGCAGCAGTGTCCTGTGACCATTCCTCTCTCTGCCATGCTGCCACATCTCAGCTGCCACAGGTCCACTGCCCACTGCCCATCCTCCTCTGCCCAGGTCCCCCCAGTGCCTGCCAGCCCCACTCCCTTAGCCTCCCTGCTGCACCCAACATGTGGCTGCAGAGCAGGGGAGCTGTGCCAGCTGCCTGCACGAAGGGCTGTAGCCATAGCATCAGGATCCTTTGCTAGCCAAACACAAAAACATATAATGGGAGCAGGCAGATTAAAACCAGGGAATGAACGTTCTCTCAGTGCCTCAGCCAGTACAGAACACCAGGGAGTCAGTTTTAGGGGGATTAAGAGTATTAGCAAGGCTAAAATCTTTGATAGATTGGCCAATAGCTTCAGGGGATGGAAAGTTTTCTTCAACATCCTTCAGTTCCCTTCACGATTATTTCTAAGATGGAGCAGAAATGTAATGCTCACACCAGCTGCAGCAAGTTGGTCTGTACGTGCCAATTCACAGTGTCATAGCCAGAGCAATCTCCTGTCTGCAGTGAGCAGTCCCCACTCATCCACTGGTGCTCAGGAAGTTCACCACTGCTCCTGTTGCATGCACACTGGCCAAGGTTTGAGGTGCAGGTTGGATCCACTTCTCTGAGCTGTGGTTTGGCCCATCTGGAGAAGGGTACCAGGCTCCCACACAAGGACACAGCTCAGTGTCCATCGAGACTGCAGTGTAGGTCAATGCCAAGGGTCAGCTTTCCCACCTGGGCTGAAATTCCTCTGTGTTTTCCCTGTGTCTCCTGCAGCTACTGGCCCCTGTCAGCCAAGGGAACTTATGGGGCCCATGTGCCACCCTTCTACACTGCCTTTCCAGCCCTGAGCAGAGCACAGGGAAATCAGCCTCATCAGAGGGCTGTGAAGCTGCAAGAGCTGTGTAATCCTACATGCAGAGTACTGTCTTTTACTATCTTGTGACTGAGGACCATTCTTTATAATCTTCCCTACAAATGTGGACTTCATTCATTCCCATTCATTCATTCATTCATTCAGTCTGTGGATGAATGCAGAATTCTACAGCTTGGCTGCTAGCTCAAGCCTCTGCTCTGGATGGGGAGATTTCCTCCTTTTGCACAGCTTCTGCTTTATCCACAAAGCTGTTTGGATGAAGAATCTGCAAGAAAAAAACTGTTTCGAGGTGTTTGTTTGGACTAGTCACTGCCTTGATTTGGATCTTGTCCAAACCATGTGGCTAAAGGCACATGATTAGGAATTAAATGGTTGAAAGCATGAGAATTAAGAAATAAGTAGGAAATCTTTCCTAGATGCAAAAATCACAAGGCCTAGAATCACTGACCTAGAGATGCTGCAAACCCTGCAGCAAATCACAGGGCTGTTTGACAACTCTTTGCTAACCTGCCATGAGACCAGTTAGCCATTTTCTGATACAAAGGAAGCCCTGTAGCCTCACCATTGCAGAGAGCCATTACACTCCAAGATCCTGGGGGAAGGGGAGGTTTATATTATGTGGGTAACTTGTATTTACTAGCAGCATAAAGAGCTGGGCAGGCCTTCTCAAAATCAATTAGCAAGGCTGATGCACTCTCCATTTCATAGGGGTTTTTTCAAACAAAACCCATGGGAATTTCTTCTGCATGGTTTCCATTTCATTCAAAAGCCTCACACACCTCATCAGGCACTAAACACTGCATCAAGCTGATTTCTTACTCCATTGTAATACACAGAGGAATAAAACACAGGCACATCTCAGTCTTCACGGGCCTTTTGGGAAAGTCAGGTGATACTGGGAATGCACCAGACCTATGGAAAAGCACACTGAGTTGTAGTGCAGCTCTCTATGCTCTGATGCTAGGCAGACAGATAACTGCAATGCTCATTTAAAGAAAAATTAAAGAAAGATGTGCAGATGCTGCAAAATGATGAAAAGAAAACATGCAGGAGAGAAAGATGATATTCCACTAACACATTTCTACATTGTAAAGTACTTTCAATTTTGTTGGTTTAGCATTAGTTTTCTCATGGCAACAAGCTCACATTTTCTCTCAGGGAGGTCTCTATGAATTTCCTTGGAGTTTTAAGTGAGAATATGACTAGTGTGAGGCTCATGGGACCCCAAATGGATGGGGATGAAGAAATTAAGTGATCTGCATTTTCTGATTAAAGCTTTGTCCTATCTCCCAGTGTTGCAGTATCATCACAACATGCACTTATCTGCTGGGAGTTTGTATAAACTCAGAGACTTAGATCTCTCTGCCTGTTATCAGTATCAGTCCTTTAAAGCACATTCCAGAGCCTCTGTCACCCCAGCTGTGTCCTTGGGAACCTGTGCACACTTCAGCTGATCTGTGTGCTTTCTACTTTGTCCCTGGTTTGAGCAAAGTGCCTCTTCATGATTTTCTGCAGCTCATAAAGGAAACACAAAGGTAGGAGGGCCTGCTGTGACATACTCTGCAGTGTCTGGCTGAAATCCCTGGGGTTCTGAAACAGGAACCACAGTCATCACGTCAAGTCGCTTCTCACCAGGAACCTCTGGTTCACCCCTCCAGCCTTTAGACAAATCAGACCCTCTGATCTCTGGTTTACTGATGGGGAAACTGAGGCAGAGAGCGCTGCCTGTCCTGTCCCATAACTGCTAGTCAGCAGCAGTGCCAGAGTCAACCCCTGAGCCCTCTGCTTTAGCTGATTCCCCAATTCCCATCGGGAGATGCTCCCTGTGCAATGGTGTTCCACCCTCCTGAGTGAGACACTGTTCTGACACTTGGCTCAAAACTCCTGCATTTCATCTGAAACCAAATGATTCAGGTTGTGCAAGCACTTGGGTGTGTCACCAAACCCAGAACACCCTGGTCCAAAGCAGCCCCTGGCAGCAGGGGGGAGGATGCTACTCCCCAGGTACCAGGGTGGGTGAATTTATGGTGTTTGTACTGCAGCTATAACCTGAACTGCTCTGAGCTGCTCCCCGACAGGCTGCTAGAGAGGCAGAGCAGTGCTCTTATAGTAACTATGCCATGATGGCTGGGACAGGACCTCTCCATCCTGCCTGGTACATCTCACTGTGCACACTACAAGAAGCTCCTCCTTCATCTTCACATCCCACAGAGTAGCCTGGCAGTTTTGCACAGCCATGAGTATTTTGCTTTTCAGTCTCATTCACATCTTGCCTATGCCTATGTCTGTTTTAGAAGAATACAGTTTTGTTTTCTTCTTTTTTTTTTTCTTTTGGCAAGCTTTAGCTTGCCCTCTGTATGTTGGCCCTTCCTTTCCGATGTCTCACTGTGCCTCCCACAGCATTTGGAAAGAACCTAGCCAGGCAACCACCACTGTCCCACCCTGGGTCCCAAAGCAAAAGCGAGCAAGTTTTCTTGTCCCCCCCATAGGAAGGGGCCGTGGCTGCAGCTGGCCGAAGGCAGGGAGGCAGCCTGGAGGTCCCAGCTCCCACTCGGTGCCTTTTAGTGCCAAAGACAGAGAGAATCTGCTCTTACCTGCTGCGGTGGAGATGCCCAGCAATCGGCAGGTGTACTCCAGGGCACTCCAAAGTGCCTTGTGCTGCATGGCGAAGGATGAAGGCTGCGGTACAGCCAGGCAGGAACTCCTGGGCTTCAGAGCCCCCACCTCAGGCGCAGCCCAGCAGCTCCCAGGAGCGGGCAGAGCCTCTCGTTCCCTGGACAGAGTGACCTTCCTGGAGGAAAGGGCAGTGCGTGCAGGGCTGGCCACCTCCACAGGGCCTCCCAGGGGAGGGTGGCCGGAGAATGAGCTGCCCCCCGGGGAAGCGGTCAGCGCTGCTTGCCGCCGCTCCCGAGGGGGCTGTGGAGCCCCGGCCCTTTCCGCCCGCTGCCTCTCGGCGGGTGATTAATGATTGCTGAGGCAGGGTGCGGCTGGGGGAGCATGGGTGCACGGCCTGCCCTGCTCCTGAGGTGGACGCTCTGGAAGCCCAAGCTGATTAAATGAATGTGAAGTCATTAGTGCTGTGCGGCTCCCGGCAGGTTAACCATTTGTGAGGATGACGATGTTTGCTCCTGGCAGGAGAGCAGCACGTTTGTGGCAAGTCATGAGGGGCACCCCAGGCCCACTGCCTCCTGCAGCTGAGGCCGTGGCTGCTGCTCACCATCCAGCTTCCAAGTAGTATGGCTTGGGAAGTGTCTGTGCTGATGTGCAACCACAGGGACAAGGTCAAACGTATTCAGAGGGGTCCCACAGACTAGGGATTTGACTTTCATTCTTTAGGAACACCAGTGAAATGTGTTTTGGTTTTGTAGCTACCAGAAAGACATTAATTTTGATTTCTTTGAACAGCACTGGGGTCTCACAAGTGTCATAACTGTTACACAGTGAATGACCTGCACAGGTACTCTGACCTCTTTGCCTTGGATTTGGTAGATAGCCTGGGAGTCCTTGGCTTGTCCCTGAAGGACACACTGGCTCAGGAGAGGGGCAGCCCTAGGTATGTCTGAAGGACAAGCCAAGAAACCAGTGTCTGTTCTGGACCCCAGCCTCCCTTGTGCTTGAACAGGGTACATCTCACTGGAGGTCACCATCGATCCCCACCTGCTTCCACTCAGGGAAAAGGTGGCGTGGGCAGCAGCATGGCAGTCCCAGCAGGAGGGTCCTGTGAGCACAGCACAGTCCCAGTGGGCAGCATGGATTCACAGGTCAGTGAGCTCACCTTGTGCTGGACAGTCACTGCAGCCCCTGCCCCTTGCAGCACTGGCTGGGAAACTGCTCTGGGCAAGGGACTGGTGAATCATGCTCAACTCACACACAGCCCTGCAGGGAGGGAGCAACCAGCTGAACCTGTCCCCCTGAGATCCCTTCTCACCTGCCTGACACCACAAAGCTGAGCCTGGCCAGTATGTGTTGTACTGACTTATCCTGGGAGTAGAGATGACTTGTGCCAAGGACAAAGTGACAGTTTTTCTTCCATATTCTTGGTCTGTATTTCAAACTGATATTTTTCCACAGCAGCCAAATGCCTGAGCTTATGAAATAGGTTCACGATTCCTGTAAACAACTGCTGATACTGGTCTTTTGAATGTTCACAAGGCTGTGAATGGCAGAGATCTTGCAGCAGGCAATTCTGACAAGGTTTGGGCATAGTGCACATTTTCCATGTGAAAAATGGAAAGGCCCACAGGAGAAGGGTTTCCAGAGCTTCCTGGCAGGCAATGCTGAACCCATCTTGTGCAAACCCAACTCGTGTCTTTGCTTTGTGTTAGTGTCACACTTCAGGTGTTCCCATTTCCTCTTGTCCTCCTGCACCACCTCAGGTGTTTGATGGAGCTCCCTGTTTTCCCACATCTGGTGACTCAGTAGTGAGCCTTCCTTTCCAAGAGGGTGGAAATCAGAGACAGCCAACAGGGAAGGTCACACGAAGGCTGAGGAAAAACCCAGCAGGGGTACCTGCTATGGCTGGGCATTGCCTGGGTGATCCCCATGCCTTCTAATGGTGCTTTGCTGCAGGCTCCAGGAGCACCCTCTGCCTCCAGTAATCACCAGAACAGCTTAAAGGCCCTGGCATTTACAGAACAAAGATTCACAGAATACTCAGAGTTGGAAGGGATCCACAAGGGTCACCGAGTCCAACTCTTAAGTAAATGGCCCAGATGTGGATTGAGCCCACAATCTTAGTGTTACTAGCACGATGCTCTAACCAATTGAGCAAATCTCAGGGATTCCCAGGCTGCACAGGTTGTGCAGGTTCTTTCAGGTTGTGCAAACAGTCTGGATGCTTTTTTCCTGGCTGTCATGTTCTTTTTTTAACATTGATGTCCCTTTACAAATGTGAAAAGTAGAAAAGTACTTCAAAAGCAAATAGAGGAAAGGAAGACATAAGAGTCTTTCAGAATCAGGCTTGAAGAGATGCAGAAAACAGTGCAGCCCTGAGCTATGACCACCCATGCTTCAGCAGCACCCAGCACTGCTCAAGGCAGCAAGCTGCTGCCTCCTCCCAAAGTGGGGGTCCTCTTAGCCAACATGGGCAGTGCAGCATACCAGGCTCTTACTCTGGCATTCTTATTAAACTTCACTGAGCTCTCACCCAGAAAGTACATGACTTTCTCTGAGTGCCCTTGACAGCAATGTTTCCTTTCTGGAAAGCAACATGCCTCAGGGTTTTAAATAAATGTAAATGTATGGGTGCCAGTGGTGGTGGTCATGGAGAAACAAAATCTATTTGGAAAAGGCAGATTAATACATTAACAATTTAAAACTTCCATCTCCTCCCCATGTTCCTTTGGCTACTGCCCTGCCTCCATCCTCTGAGTGGGCCTATATTAGCCTTCCTGAGGGTCCTTGTCCCCCATGTGGGGAGACCCTTAGCCTGGGGCAGCATAAGGCCTTCACTCACTCTTCCTGGGTGCACCAGGTGTTTCTCTCACTCCACTGCCCAGCAGGGTAGCATGGAGGGAGCTCAGGTATTCTCAGACTTCATTTGTATCAACACCCGTTTAGCAGGTCCTTCCCTCCATTTAGGATTTTTTGGCTAGTTCTCCTACAAAGCAACCTCACATGAGCTTGATTTTTCTTGGTAGAAGGGTCCCTTCTTCTTCTGTCTCTGTTGAAGTGGGGAGATGATACCCTTAATGAAGGTGTGTTTTAGTGAGGTTTTTAGGAATGAGTTTATGCAGTCAGAAGAGGACTGACAACTTCTGAGCATAGAGGGTTTAATAGCCTGTAACCAACATTGCAAAACCTATGCACCAGCACAGGCTGTTCTGGGACACGTAACAGCAGTGGTCCCCACAGCACATTAAACCACGTCTCTTGCACAGGGATTTACAGTTTGCACTTTGGCTGCCAGCCAGGATTCACATTTACAGTCTGCTTCCCATGATGTATGGGCTTATTTGAGAGGATTTTATCTCAGGGTTATGGCTTCATGGTCGTATTAGTCTGTGTCTTCATCTCTCCCTGCTCGCACTTTGCTCAAGTTAGTTTTGTGGGGCATCACCACCATGGCCATTCTCTGTGACCAAGGCAGCTCCTGGATTGGCTGCCCCAGTAAGGATGTAGGGCAGCAGCACACTCACCTCATGTTTGTCTCTGCAAAATGGTGATGCTGCAGGAGTGATGCAGATAGTGGAGAGCCTATCCTGGGGCATAGGATACCACAAACCATGCTCTGGAAGAAACCTACAGGAATATGCTTAACTTAGCTTGCCCAAAGTACAAAAACAGTTCCCAAACTGCCTTGGACAATGTTCTGGAAATTGGTTTCTGATATTTCACCTTCTCTTCTCTCCTCAGCGCTCAGCTGTAACCACCATGTCAGGTAGCCTTGCTCAGCAGCCTTGGTCCCTCTCTGAGCAGCAGCAGCTGAGGTGCTCCCACCAGAGTGTCCAGCTAAGACAGACAGACTGACACCAAGCTCTCCCTGGCCCACCGGAGGACAGGGAGCCAGCAAGCAGCTTCCCAGAGCCTTTGCAGTGGTGCCAGGTCCTGCCTCCCTGTGCTCTCCTTCCACCAGGTCACCTGCCATGGAGGGGAAATGGACTGTCACAACAGCAGGCTGATGGCAGATGGACCCAGTCGATTGGAAGCACCAATGAACTGCAGCTGTGGGTTCACTGGCTATGAATATCCCCTTGCAGTCAGCAAGAGTTTCACTCTGCCTTGTATCCCCAGAGGTCCACTGCTTTCCAGAACAGTCTGAATGTACTGACAGCATCCTGAGGCGAGCTTGGCAGACCTCCCTCCGCTCCTGAGCCACGGAAAAACATGGCAGAGGGCTGCCTGAAGTCACAGAACCAGCAGAGCTAAAGAGAAGATCTTACACGTGCTGCCCCTTCCTTTGCTACAGCAGAGAATGATGCCCTCCGCAGTCTCCGCCCCGGGCAGCAGTGCGAGCCGTGCTGGGGATGCCCGGCAGGGGACAGCAGGACCCCACACGGCACAGACCGGCTGCTCCCCGTGCGAGGCAGGCTGCAGCCAGCCCCCTGCAAGGTGCGGATGAAAGGGCATCATTAAGTTTTACTGTTTGAACAAGAAAAGCGTGATAGCCACAGTATGGATCTGAAGGGGACTCTGGGAGAGCCCAGAGCTGCAGTGAACACAAATCAACAACTGGCCTGTTTTGCTTTATGCTCTGCGATCAAAGGAATCAACATGCTGCCGAGCACTCGTCTGCTCCTCCGGGAATTTCCCAGCACAGCAGGAATGCCAAGGCTCAGCAGTACTGCCCCACATCAGCCCTATCAGCCCTGCCAGCCCCAGGAGGTTTGGTGAACAGCTCCAGGGCTGCTGCAGGCTGACCCAGCAGAGAGGGTGAGATGGAGGGGCTGGTGAGGAGCCTCTTTACCCCCAGGCCCTCCTGGGGACCCTCTCCCTGCCAGCACAACTGGAGAGACGCTGCATTTATCCTGGGGACTGAGCTTTCATCCAGGCGTCCACTGTTAATGAAACTCAGGACACACGGTGGTGTGGGATGATGTGGGGATGATACCAGGGAAGGGGGCTGAGGTTGATACCTCCGTGGCAAAGGCAATCTTAATCAGAAAATGGATGTAGAAACCCATCTGATGCACTTGTGGAGATCTCACAGACATCTACAGCACCTC